GGGTTTTACCTATTCCAGCCTTTTTTGGCCCCAAAATAGCCCCATAGACCCACGGTCCATGCACAGCTCTGTTGGAGGAAAAAACAGCCCCTTGGTCCTTCACCCCATTAAAGGGGAAATTTGGCTTCAAAACGGAGCCTCTGGAGCTGCCTGGGGACCGCCAGCAGCATCAGCAAGTTATTTCCTATCTAACTTGGAAGGAAACGGAAAGGAGACAGGATGCATCACTGCAGAGCAGCGTTGTTCCCAGCTACTGAAATAAGGGGCATGAAGGGAAAGAAAGGGAATTTGTAATCTTGGAGGCAAAGAAAGCCTTTCCCTCCAGCTGATGCAGGTGAGATCGCAGGAGGGAGGCAGCAGATGGGACAATTTGCTACTGCTTTTTAAATGCCTTTTAGCTCCTCACCAGCCTGCTGTGCCCCAAGGCGACCTCATGTAGGTTGTAAGGATAAAGAAAGCCAAATTCCTTCTGGGAGATGATGTTGAATCCCAACACGGTCCAGCTAAGCCCTCAAATAGTGGGGGGGGACACGACCCACTTTGCTATCAACTTGACAGAAACAGGAGCTTTTGCATTTGCTGTTTAAGACAATTTAATAAGGAACAAAAGATGTCAGGAAGATTCAAGCTTAGGTTTGAGACAAGCCTTTATTAAATCTCCTGAGCATTCACACCCGTGTTTCCTCGGCTGCAGCAGCAACGTTCAGTCGGATTCTGGGTGTAACAAGTGATATCTTAAGATTAAAGATATGTACAATGCTTGGACAGAGCTAAGTGGAGACGGCAGGACAAGCACATCGGTCCTCCAAGCACACGTAGATGGTCTCTGTGCTGGGGCAGTGCAGGGCGGCACATACAGGGCTGCCTTGATGGAGGGTGTGGATGGAGGGAAGGATTCAGGTCTGTGCTTGTCCAGACCTTGTGTCTGGCCCCAGCCATAAGCATGGGACAGGAGGTGACCGGGTGGGTGAGAACGCTGCCCAGTGGCACAACCATGTAGCAGACACTGGAGAATCCACAAAGGGAGAGCAATGGTGTGATGTCCCGCAAGGGGAAGAGCTGTCTCTGCCAGGCTGGCCCCAGCAGACCCCAGTGTACCCACTGCAGGCTGGGGTTTCCTTACCTGGGGCTTCCCTGCTGCTTAATGCAAAAGCTTTTCCCTTGGGGACTGCTCTTAAATGCCTGTGGAGTCTCTGATGTCCAGTAAGGAAAACACCCACAACGTGGCCCTTTCCTCAGCAGAGTCATTACTTCTGTCTCTCACTCCTCTGCCAGGCTGAGGATTCTCATCACGCCTGTCAGGACGTAATTCTCTTCAGATTCCTGTTATTATGTCAAGTTTGGTTCAGCTCGCCTGCGAAGGTATAAAATGACAAGGGAAGACACGCTGCTTGTGTCGGGCACGGGGGTGCAATTGCATAAAGCTCTTTTCCTCAGGAAAGCAGGCTTACAGAAGTCAAAATACCCTTTTCCTAGTGTTTCTGGGGAGCTGCGCTCCCTCAGCCCATCGCTGCTGAGCGATGGCAGCTCTCCAGCAGCATCCCCTCTGGGGACGCTTGCCCATGCTCTTGGAACCTCGGAACCCCTCCCAGGAGAAGCCTGCGATGAATGACCCATCCTTGAGTCGACAAGAAGTCCATTGAGTCACAATGATCAAAGCCAGCCCTAAACTTCTCACCATGTGCTGGAGATGTCCTCACACCAGGGGGGTTAAATGGGTTTTAGCAACAGGATAATTCTTCCTCTCCTCCCCTGCCAAATAACCTCTGTGAGGCGCAGAGCTCAGGGCTTTCGGGGCTTGGCAGCATCTCTCTTTTGAGGGCTCACCAGTTCACGGGTATCTCCGTCCCTTCCCGGGATGCACCGATGTCCCTGCTCGTGTGCAGCTTGGCACTTGCCACCTGCCAGGCAAGAAGGAAAAGCAGAAGAAGAACTGCTTTAGAGGGTAAACCCCAGGGGAGCAGCGTCCATCCTTTGTCACCCTCCTGTCTCTGTAAGCAAGTGCTGGGGCTGGAGGAGGGATCCTGAGCACCTGGATCCTTCTTGACTCTGCAACAAACTAGAATGAAATATTAAATGCTTTCTCTCCTTTTTAGCGTGCCTTATGCCTTATTTATGGCTCTCATTGAAGGCAGGGAGCCAGGGCAGGGACGTGGGCAGAATAATGCACTGGCTAAAGGTGAGGCAGGGAAATGATGGGTGAGGATAACTTCCTGTAGCAAAGCCAGGGCCGTGCTGGGGGGAGCAGGACAGGGGCCTGTCCTGGATGGGGAGCATCATGGCTCAGGGCAAAGCGCACCTTGGGAGTTCTAATAGAGAAGGCTTGAAGAAAAAGCAGGGATCTGGTGCTAAGTGAGGGCTGGGAGCTGAGAGCAGGACCCTGGTCAGGCTGTGCCTGGGCATGAGAGCATGAGTGGCAGTGTCCTGCAGGGTACCAGGGCACCGAGTGGAAGGTGATGGATGAGGACTGATGTGTGGAGGACAGCTCCTATGGGCTGCTTGGCCACTGTGGAGGGGTTGACAAAGCAACTGCAAGGAAAACTCTCTCCTTGAGCACTTGGAGGCTTCGCTTTTCTCACCCCATCCTCGCTGTCTGGGTTGCAGGGCTGAAGTTGAGCAAATGGAGAAGGGTGATGGTTGGGGTGAAGGTGTTGAGCTCCTCTGCTGCCTGAGGATCCACCCCTGAACCCAGTGTGCAGCTCATCTAAAGCCTACAGGCTATGTGGGGAGAAAAAACAAGTATCTCTTCTGGAGCACTTAACAGCTTGCAGTCGCATGTGCTGCTTCCCCCTAACACGGAAAGGCAAGCACACAAACACGAGCCCTCGCTTCCTCTGGTGTAAAGCAGCCTCCTCTCCCAGGGAAGGAAAGCAATGAAACTACATCAGCATCCTCCACAAAACACCCGAATGCCCAAAGCAGCCAAGATCCAGCTCAGAAATAGAGCTCCAGTGTGTGAGGTGCTTTGATACCGCAGTGTGTGCGTGTGCTTGTGCACGGGAGCTCTGAGCGCGGAGTGGTTGTGTGCACCCTTTATAACTGCACGTGAGCGCTGGGCTTCACCTAAAGGCATGGAAAGGGACCACACTTCTCCTTAGCATGCCAAGAGGTTGGAAAGCTAGGAATGGGAATTGCCCCCAATGGGAATGGTGCTCCACAGTGCAGGTCGTGCAGATGCTCTGTGAAGAAACCTCACAGGCTGAGCTCAGTGCCTCCGAGCAGATGCTGCTCGTCCTACCACACCAGCGCTCGCCCGCCTCACAGATTGCTTAATAAGCAGCTTTTAGCCTTGTGCCGTGGGTCATCCCAGGTCTGAGTGCTTCAGAAATGGAATGGACCATGTAGGCCAGCACAAGCCAAAGGGATTCGCTGTGCCATGTGGCGCTGGGGAGCTCCGGTCCAGTGCTTGACTGGGAGGTGGGGTTTTGGGGGCCTTTAAAGTCTCTTTGAAACCTGGGGTGAACAGCAGGGTTGATGCATGGTATATCCCTCGCTTTCCCTCCAGCAAACTCCATCTCAGGGCTTTGGATGCTGCAGCCCCAGCGTTCCCTCACTGTGGTGGAGGATCTGTGCAGGAGGTGGTGTGAGAGCCCCCAGACTCGTGCACGCAGGATGCTTCAGTGCCAAGAGCTGGTGTTTTTCAGACAAGAGACTTTGAAAGGGAACGAGCATCCTACCTCTGACATCTCCACTGAGCCATATTATTAGTTTTGGCAATTAAATAGAAACCTGTTTGCAGGTGACAATGCTGTAAAAATAAGTAGGTACCAGAGCCAACATCATGAAAATCAGGCAGGAGAACAGAGCTCAGGCAGCACACATAATCTGTGGGAAATAAGTCTGTGAATAATGAATGTGCACTGGAAAAGTAAAATACATTATTGTGGGAAAGATAAGTCTATTAAAGCCTTGCTGCAGAGCCTGTGCTAGGGGTGCCCGAGAGATTACTGGGTTCTCTGCTCCGGGTGCAGCTCTCTCCTTCACATGCTCCGACCTCAGCATCCAATGCAGCGTCTCTGCAAGGTAACACCCTCCTTTTTAATCTCCTTACACCTCCATGCAGGGCTGAGCTGACCCGAGATGCCCGGAGCAAGAGGAGGCAGTGAGGGCTTCAGGGTTGCTTTTCCATCGTGGTTTAAAGGTATTAGGGAAGGGCAAGGTGCAGGGCCTGGAGCACAAGTGTGATGGGGAACGGCTGAGGGACCTGGGGGGGTCAGTGTGGAGAAGAGAGGTCCCTACAAGTGCCTGACAGGAGGATGGAGCCAGGAGGGGCTGGGCTCTGCTCCCAAGGAACGAGGGATGGGACAAGAGGAAACGGCCTCAAGCTGCACCAGGGCAGGTTTAGATGGAGCTGAGGAACAATTCTGCCCCAGAGGGTGCTCAGGCATTGGAACAGGCTTGCCCAGGGCAGGGCTGCAGTCACCGACCCTGCAAGTGTTCACACCCCGTGGAGATGAGGCCTCAGTGCCATGGGTTAGGGGTGCTGGGCAATGGTTGGACTGGATGAGCTTAAAGGGCTTTTCCAACCCAGCTGATTCCATGATTCTGTGGCCTCCTTGGCTCTGGGAAGAGCCTGTGTTGTTCTGCACTGACCTGAAATGATTTGTTAGCAGTCGGCATCAGCCGTGGCAGGGGGACCTTGTCTGCTCCCATTATGGCCCCTTCTGATCTGAGCTTGGTTTCCCTGTTGTTTTCCCCAGAAGAAAAGGGTTTTTGTTTGTGCTTCTCCTTCAGCGGAAGGGAAGTTCCAAAGGAGCAGTCACTTTGCATCACGATCTTTCCCTTCCATACAGGCTGCTGTGCTTCGGGGGGATATTGCACGTTTCTCTTTTAACTTCTCCAGGATGAGACTTGGGCAAAGCAAGGTGCAATGAGCTGTGGGGCCACCCCTGGGTGCCCTCCCGTTGTGGCTCGTGGGGCCCTGGGCAGCTGCTGGCTCTGGCCATTGAGGGAAGGTTTCTTTGATATTCAAAGAGTAAGAATTGCTTCTTTTAATGCAGGTGCTTTCTCTATTCAGTGGAGGATGGAGGATCCATCACCTCACCTTGCCCAAACCCAGGCAGGACGCAGCGATGAAGCCACCCAGGGGACACCCAGACCTGGTTTCATGGTGACTCCAGTCCTGGAAAACCATTCCAGATCCCAGTTCATGCTGGTGAGCTCAATCCCCTCTGAGGAGGGTGGGCACAGCTTCAGGAGGGATGAGGGGCTGCCATTGACCACAGAAGCTCCCCAGGCTGATTCTTCACTACATGCTGGCTGGCAATGGAAGTTCTGCTTTTGAAGGCATTGCCTGAAAATGAGGGGGGCAAAAACCACGGTGGAGGGGGAGTAAGTATGAATTGTGCATGGGGAGCTTCACAGGAAAGGACACAAAGGGTAAGGACTTTACTGCAGGGAGTGGAAAGGCGCCCTTGATGCTTTCTGCTTTGCAGATGGGATTGGAGACTTAATGGGTTCGGTTTGCTTTGGGTTGGTTTTTCTATAGGATGGGGCTTTTCTTTCCTTCCAGAAGGATATTTTTAACCTTCATCCGCTTTTCCAAGGAGGTGGCAGCTGGGAACATTTCAGTTTATCTTTAAACCCTTTTGGAGGACAGGGACAGGAAGGCGATGCCTGGGGACTGGGCAGCTCTGGCGTGAAGGATGCCAGCTTGGCTGGGTGGGTGTTTCTGATGGTGAAAGCCTGGGTAACTGGCTCTTAAAAGCCACATGCAGGGAGGTGGGTATTGATTTCCAAGCAGAAAAACCCATCTGCACCCTGCTCTAGAGCCATTTATCCAGCCATGAGTTTCCCTGGCCGTTTCCTCCTCAGCAAATGTCTATGAATCTGAATGCCTAAAACCTAGGGCTTTTGGGGAAATAATCCCAGACTTGATTGTTTCTCCCCGTCCCAAGCCACCCTGATGGTGCATCACTCCATGGGGTGCAAAGCAGCACCATGCCCAGGTAGCATCACCCTTGGTGAGCACAGCTGTGGTCAGGGTTGTCTCTGTGGCAGAGAAATCTGCTTTGGGATGGTCATGTAATCATCAGGGAAGGGCAGGATGGCCCTTACTGGGCATGGGAGCCCTCTGAGCATCATTCCCTTGCTCAGATCTGCATCGAAGGAGCTCAAGGATGTTGTTGTAAAGCAGCATGGGTGTTGCACCTCACCACAGCACTCTGTGACTCCACTGTGGCAGGGGGAAGCCTGGGCTTGCTCTGTCCCAGTGCGATGCTCACAGTCTCTATGGCAGAGCCACATCTTCCCCTCCTTCAGGAGCTGCCATCCTCAGGGAGAGGCACTGGGAAGGGTTTCTGCAGCAGAGAGGAAACCTCAGTTTTGTGATTGAAGAATGAATTTGATGTGTGATTTGGGGAATTGCGGGGGGGGGGGGGGGTATGTGTGGAGGAAATGGCAGTAGGATTATTGGGGTAAAATAACATCAATAACGAGAGAGAGCAAGAAGGGGAATTAGCCGGGGCTGCCTGTCAGCTTGCTGATTTAAGATTCACTTTGAAAACCTATTCCCTTCAGGGGGAAACACGTGCCTGCCCCATCGGCAGCCAAGCCAGCATCCTGCTCCCTGGGGGAGGCATCTGGGCAGGGAAGTAAATGATTGCAGGAGCTGCCGGTGTGTTTACAGCAAAGCGGGGTTTTGCAGTGCTGAATCACTTGGGGAGAAGAGCCAGGCTGGCAGTGCTGCTCCCCCATCGCATCTGAACACATGGAGTGCAGGGATACAGGTTGCTCAGAGCTGGGAGCATGGCCAGGGCTTGGCGTGGTCACAGGGAAGATGCCACAGGGAGTCCCATGGAGAGGACCGGCCTTGGTGTGGGAATATGGGCACATCCCCCTGGGAAGAGCTTCAAAGGTTCTCTCTGCTTAAATACCTTTCCTCCTTATAGCCTCTGCTCTGCATTTCCATTTTTCAAACACCTTATAATCACACTAATTAATACGTTCTGGGATAATGCTTCCTGCTTCCATCAAGTTCAAATCAGCATTTATTAGCATATTGCCATGTCTGTGGTGTTTGTTCAAGTCCAGCATCACCTTGTACCTCATTATGACCCAGAACTATTGCAGATCTGAACTGTGCTGGGGAGCAGTGAGCTGCCATCCGTTTTCCTCCCAGTTTGGGTACCAGAGGAGCATCTTGCTAGCACCGTGCCCACATTCAGCTGCAGCCACCAGTTCATAGTCTGTATCACCCTCCTGTTCTCTTCTCGCCTTCCCTCCCCTTGTGTCAGCAGCAGTGATGGGGTGAGCTGGGACGGGACAGGCTGTTACTCCCAAAGCCCATTTATATCAGAGTGGGGCATGAAGCAGCTCAGGCACCCTCCTGCTCTGTCCTTGTGAAGGCCCAGGGAGAAGGAGGGTGTCTGGAGGGAGTCATGGCAGGCTCTGCCCTGGGGAAGGGCTTTGGGGTGTGAGTCCATCAGACTTGGGGGTGCGGCTGCATCCCACTCCCTCCTGGCCATCTCTCACAGGGGAAACATGCATGTTTAACCCCTTTGACAGCAGATTTCTGTGCCCGGGGAGGCGAGAAGCTTTGGGAGCTTTACAACATGAATCACTCAACATTTTGGCTTTTAGGTTTGGGGTCCAAAGCCCACCCCGCCCTGTCCCCTCCCTCCATCCCACTGACAAGCACAGCGAAGGTGCAACAGGGGTAACTGAGGAAGCTTTTTAGCACATTTACTCGTGTTCCCTGCGGAAATCCCTGCTGAAGAGCAAAGCCCTCCCTCCCTCCCCTTGCCTGCTCCCAGCGATAGCAATAGCCGCAATCGCCGTGATCGATTCTTGGTGTCAGCGCTGGCCCCCGTGTGCCGGGGCAGGTCAGGCATCCGCGCCCCCAGCGCCGGCTGGGGTGAGGAGGAGAAGTCACCCAGATAACGATCAGAGCCATTCATCATGATTAGAAGTGCCAGGGCGGGTTGGAGCAAACACACCCGAGCTCATCTCGCTGTCGAATCGAGGTGCCCCCGGGGCTGAGCCCATCCGTGCTCCACATCAGGCTGCTGTGCATGGGATAGGGGGGGATGTGATGTGCCCCCTGGGAAGGGGGCAGGGAGGCTGGGAATCAATGGGGGGGGAAGGTTGGTTTGTTTTTCTGCTGAAGTTTAGGGTTTTTTTTAAAGATCTATATATTTGAGCTGTGCCCTTGTGCAACAATCACTGTCTCCCTCTTCCTCTCTATCCCTACAGCAGCAGCTCCAGGACCACCATCACCCTCTCACTACCTGATGCAGAAGCCTCCAGCAGGGCCAGCAGGCAGCACGGGCTGCAGCCCCACACCGAAGTTAGCACTGCCCTGATATTCTTCCAGCAGTGGTTGTTTGCACAGAACATCTCAGAGACTTTTCCTTTTGCCCCCCCCCCCCATCACATTATGTTCTCCTGAAAACATTCCCAAAACATTTGTGGGGCCTTTTTCCAGCTCTCTGGCCAGTTAAAAGGGCAAAAATCGATCTAACTCCACTGGCTGCTCGGTGCACGAGGACTCTGCTGCTGTTTTAGCTGTATCAGCTTGGGAAATGGATCCTTCAATCAGTTTAACCCCAAGGCTTGATGTAATTTCACTACTGCCTTCTCTCTGAGGTGCTTTTACAGCTGCTCTCTCTAAGTATTTACAGGGCAAGGAGAGCAGCAAAGTGAGAGGAGACTTGGCTCAGTTTGTCCCCATCGTGAGCAGCAGCTCAGGGGTTGGCACATGGGGCTGTTCCCATGGTGGGACCCATCCTGCTCACTGTCAGGTCGAGGAGCTTATTTCAACACCAGCAAAACCTGAAGCCCCGGCAGGAACTATGGCATTTCCTGGGCCTTAAGGCCATTCCTTTGGGTGGGAATTGAAATTGCTGTGGGTGCAGCTCCTCGCAGGGATGCTCTCTGACCTCCACTACCCTTTCTGTCCCTCCAGTCCTCTCTTTAAGGTATCCAGAGGGAAAAACCACCCTGCCGATGAGGGGAAGTGCAAACCAGGTTGTGATGCTGCAGGAGAAGGCACAGGCGTGCCCATGGTGAGATCTCCACGTGCTGCAGAGCTGATGCTTTTCTAAGGTCAGGTTATAATTGAGTTAGATGTTGTCTCTGTCTCTGTTCATAAAAACTATTCTTGGACAGGCCTCTGAAGCTGAAACTGCCATAAATGCTATGTTACATCTTTAAACAAATCAGTCAAGTGCAGAGCAGGGCCACAGAGTTAGGGATACGCTTAAATCTGGAGTCAGTGAGGCAGAAGGACCTGCTTGAAGTTAAGCATGAGCATAACTGCTCTTCGGGATGGGCCAAGTTTGCTGAATCCAGCCCTGCAGAGAGCTTTTTTCATCTAGTTCGTTGCACATTGTGTGTAACAGGCAACTTCTTGCCTCTGAACCAGCAAATAATTATTAGCAATGTTCTTTAGCAGTAGCATAAGAGACACCGATGGTGCTCTGCGGTGGTGTCTGTTCCAGCTGTACTTGCAAGGTCACTGGCATTTTGCTCCCTATATATAAGTGATCAACTAAGGCAGAATGGGGGCTGTGGTTCAGACACCTCTTTTAGAGCCATCTCCCACAGAGGTGTGTTGGAGTGGGACCAACACAGCAGCCAGAAACCCAAGAGGGGCCAGAGCATCATCCCTCTCCTCCATCACTTGTCCTGCACTCCTGGGCTGCTCCTGTTGGTAACTCCAGCAGTGTCCCAGGTCTGAGGGGCAGTGTTGTGGTGTTGTCTGGGGATGCTCAGGCAGCAGGGGTGTAGCAGAGCCAATGTCCCACCTGGAGCTGCAATGACCAGCCTCATCCTTCACCACTGGGGATGTTCATCCTCAGCTGCCTTTAACCTGAGCTCCATCCAGCTTCTCTTTCCCTGGGTGAAACCCACGTCACACTCACCCCGTGTCCACACAAGACTCTGGAATCTCTAAATGCTTTTTATAACCTACTTTTTCTCCCACCCTGCAGCTAACCGAGGTCAATTTACCACATGGCCCCAGCACTACCATGATCTTCTCCTGAGCCTGCTTCTGGGTTCTCCCATGTCGTGCCCACCTCTTCCAGTCATTTTACAGTAGCCTTGTAAGGACCAAAGTGCTCCAGATTCAGGTGGCAGAGATTGGAAATGCGTGGAGAGCAACAGAAAACTTGTCCTGTGATTTTGTAGGTCTTCTTTCATCCCATACCCGAAAGGCACAAGGGATGCCCACCAAACTGATGTGGTGGGAGCAGCACTAAGGCTTGTCTGTCCATTCCTCCATGCATTGCATCTCTGCCTATTAGGCGTGCGCTGAGGCAGGGCCACTTCTTGCCTTGGCCATACAGCTGAAGGGATGCGGTAAATGAAATTCATTAATCAAGGGGGAGAGAAAAACCTGAAGGGAAAAGCGTCCATTCATCCACTTACAGACAGGTCTAATGGTGCTTTTGTTTGCCTGCATCTCCGTTTGTGTCTTGTCTCACAAATACACAGGCAGAAATTTCAGGACCGAGGCGAGTTGGAATATCCAGTAGAAGGAAGACAAAAACACCCCATCGCCACCTCTCTTTGCAATCCTCCAAAGTGGGGAGGTTGCTAAGTGACAGCATTTCTGCTCTCACTAACTCACTGCAAGAACCTGAGCACTTAAAAGCAGGAGAATGGCTATTTAAGGACATGATAACTCGTGTTCTCTGGTAGCAACCAACAAGCTGTTTGTTCTGAGAGGACTGGGGGTATTTCACCCAGAAGTTAAATTTGGAGGGGATGAGTAATGGATTCGGTGGGAATTCGGCCTTGTCTGCAAGCCCATGCTGGGACATGGACCATGCACAGGGGCCTGCATGCACATACGGGGGATTTTAACCCGATTTATGGCCATGGAGCTCAATGGGCAGAGCTTGGGATGTGCGCTCAGTTTCGCTGCCCTTCGCAAGGAAGCAAAGCGGATCCCGTCTCCTGTATCCACAGGATACAAGTCCAGTGCCCATCCCCAGCAGCAGTATAAATACCCTCAGCTCAGCTTTCCTCGCTGCCAACTGGCTCCATTTATTTCTTCTATTCCACTGTTGTTGGGCTTGCTATTCTGTGATCCCATTTAAAATCATCGATTTACCACAGAGTCCTCCAATAAGCAATTTGGAGCAATTGAAGCTGTTATCTTGCTATAGATCACATGGTGCTGGGAGCGGGGGGAAAGGGAAGAAGAGGAAAAATGAGAACAAAAACTGGCTGGAGCTCCCCACAGCCAGCCTGGATCGGTTCCGCTCTGCGTATCAGGAAGGGTGGGTGGTGCTTTGTGTGTTATGGTCCAGGAGGGGGAAAAAGGGCCTTTGTTCCCTTTATTAGGATTTAACCCACATGAAGAGCATGAGACCAGGCTGGGATGCAGGGGCTTTGAAAGGTGGGATGTTCCTGAGGGTCAGGGAAGGGGGAAGGAGCTGGATTTTCCTGCCATTGACTGGCCACAGCCACAATCACAGACAGGACACTTGTGGGAAGCGTTGCACAGCCCCTGTGCACCATTGGTGTCCGTTCTTTTTCAGCTTGGGTGCAAGGGTTTCTCCACTCTCTGCTGGGGAGGAAGGTTTGGACCTGGGATGCCACATCCCCTCCTTCAGAAAAACACCTTTTTGGAAGCACTGAGGGGTTTGCTGGGGAAAGACAGAAGAATTCACAACCTGGTTACAGAGGAATTTGCCATCTCTGCACCAATGGGCTCTGAAACAAACTCGCCCTGACTACATCAGGCAATTTGCAGGGCCATTGAGGAAGAGGCTAGGGCATCCCTGCACTGGCAGCTGTAGTTGTTAGCAACAGGTTTCCAGTAACTTCACAACCCCAGGAGGGTGCTTTTGGGTCTTCAGAGTTAGAGATGCCCCAGACCCAAAAGCACAAGGAGGGCAGGTTTTATGATGCCTGTGTCCTTTCAACCACAGCCGTTAGCTGGGAATCTAATCATAAGAGCCCAAGGAAGCTCCCCTAGAGAGACTTTGCTTCCACACTGACGGATGGAGAGCTCTCTCCTGCTCATAACCCACAATGCAAAGCCTCAATACAAACTCAGGTAATAGAGAGAGGGCCTGGCAAACGTGGGTGCTGCAGTGATTTGAAACAGATTGTGTTTGAGTGCCGAGAGCAAATAAACCAGTTCTAGAACTGAGAGCTGTGGGAAAGGTGGCTTCAAAACACACTGATGAAATGATTCAACTGCTTCCAAGGGGGTTTGGGAGCTGCTCTACGGGGGCAGAGATGTGCTGGTGCGTGCTTGTGCCCTGTTTGTATTCACATGGTGCAAGGCGATGCTGTCAGCTGTGGTGGGACCAGAAATGATGTTTCTTGGTGAAATGGCACTGAACTGGTTGCTGCCACTCCTGGAAACCCCTGGCTTGTCTCTCTCACGCCTCCAAAGCTTTCCAAGCCCTTAACTTCTGCTTAGCCTGGCTGAAATGGAGATGACCTGGGAGGCTTCTCATGTGGGCTCCTACTCGCCGAGCAAGCGCTGCTGGGTCTGTGTGGTTAACCAGTGCAGTGCCCAGTGTGGTCCCAACCAGACAAAACCCAGCAAAGTACCAGAAGGAAATAGCTCAGCAACAATAAGCTTGTGGGTTGTAAAAGTCCCCCAGGGCGCAGTGTTTCTGGAGGGGGAGAGGAAGAGCTCAATGGCAGTGTTGTTATGTGCAGCCAGGCAGCTTTCCCCATGCTGCAGGACCTGCTGCCTCTCCATCCCTCCGAGCCATGCTGAGAGATCGAGTCCTTGAAAGCTTCTGCAGATGGGATCATTTCCGTGCTCCAGGGCTTCATTCTGGCTTCAGGGATGCTCCTTCATCCTCCTTCTGCAAAGCACCCTGAGGCCCTTTGCGTGCAACCCCCCCCCAGCTCCCCAGGCATTTTGGCATCTCTAGCTGTTGGTAGAGCTGCACCAAGGCCAACCCCCCCGGGGACCCCCACAGACTCAATATCTCCTTCTCAGCTGTGCCAATGACAGATTTATTGGGGGTTTTTCTTCTTCCCAAGATCTGGAGTGGTTCAGGGAGTAAAAAACCTGACTTTCCAGAGCCATCGTCTGTGCTCCTGCTCTGCTCCAGTCAAAAGCGAAAGGGCTTGGGTTGATTTCCAGCTCTTTAAGGCAAAAAATAAATGCATGCAATCAAAGGATGTGTCAGAGGGGAATAGACTTCAGATCAAAAGATGGAAGCGGCTCATGGCGAGCCAAGAAAACGTGTCAAAAGGAAAGATGTTCATTTCTGAACGTGAGGGTTTGGGGTCCTTTTTCTCCTGGAGTGTCTTAGTGCCTCCATGAGCAGGGACTCGGAGCAAAGGCCTGGGATGCAGCAGACCCATCACTCTGGAATAGCCAAAGTGATGCTTTCCCCAGCATCCCTGCCACTGCCTGCTCCT